ATACATTTTGTTCATTTTTTAAATATTTATTTATTTAATTTGTTTATTTATTTATTTATTATCACATTTATTTTTCCTTTTGTGGGGTTGGTTATCTTTTGCTTGTTTAGTTTAAATTATTGGCTTTGCTTGAAGTATGGTACTTTAACTGTGTTGCACATAGTGCATATATTTGTATTTTTCTTGGTGATATTTTACAAGGTATTCATTTTTAGATTTTGATTTTTAAGTAAACATTTATTTTCAGGTCTACATTTTGTGAACTTTTCATCATTTATTTAGTAATTTCTGCTGGTCTAGGAAGGTGATTATAACTATTTTATCCTCCAGACAAAGTTTAAAGTTTTTGGATTTAATGTTTTTGGCTGATTAAGGTTTTCTTATTTTCCATGATATTCTTGGTGGATTTTGCTTTTTAATTTCCTATATGTTTAGAATATATATGGCTGTGTTTGTGCATTTTTCATTGGGTTTGAGTGTATAGTTTCTTCGTTTCTAGGTTCATTCATTTATCCCTATGTATATTTTTTCTTCATTATTTTATAGTGGCATGGTATATTACACCTATTTGCAGGCAAATGTCATTTAAGGAACATTCATTATTTGTTCTGTAGTTACAGATGGGTTTTGTTTGTGTAAGTGATTTGTTTCTTATTTTTCTATTGTACTTTTTATTATTTGTGCTATGTTCTTGGTGCAACAGCAATGATTTTTAATGTTTCTTTTGAATATCTTGTGGAGAGTGCTTGATGAAGGGAATTCTCTGTGGATGAGTTTAATGAATATTTTTCCACTGTTTGTCAAACCCCTTTACATATACACACCTTCCAACCACACACCAACAATAATCAAGCAGATCCCACAATCAATTAACAGTAGGTTATCTGACAATAATTTTCAGAAAACCTTCATTAAAAAAAAACAAAAAAGATTATTAAAGAACTTTAAAAGAAAGAAAGTGAATTTTCAGCAACAACCATATTCGTGTCATATAGTACCAAAAAAAAAAAAAAACAACAACAGAACCTGAAACATTATATGGTTTAACCTATTGTATAACAAAAACTTAAGAACACAGATAGAAAAAATAATCATCAATTGTCACCACTCAGTATTAACATCAGTTTCCACTTTTATAATTATATTTATATTTAAACATGCTCTATCCTTGATATTGAGCACTTTTACCCAGAAAGATCTTTGTCATATATATATATATATATATATATATATATATATATATATATATATATATCTTGATATATACAAAATTGTGATCACAAAGAGTTAGGCAGTACAGAATGATATGGAGTGTGCTGTTGAATTTGAGGTCATATATATATATATATATATATATATATATATATATATATATATATATTTCATCATATTTTATGATTTGGCTTTGTTTCCTGACTTTATGTGCCAGTGCAATCTGAAACTCTAGAGACAAGTCTAGAATATTACATTCTGAAACCCAGCAAGAACTTATTCTCAAATGAATGACTGCAGACGTGACACACTGAGCAACAGGTGGTTGCAGGAGTTCCAATTAGAATTCTCTGAGCTCAATGGTAGTGAACAGAACTGAAGATTACTTCACCTAAGGTTCTGTCATTTTTTTAAAATTCAGCAGATGAAAGGGGAAAAAACAACAATAAATCTGTACAAAAATTGTTTATAAAAACTTGAGATTCTGAAGAATTATTAAAATGTCAAAGACAGGAAAATCTGTTACTTGATTAATGGTGAACAATGAAAAGCAGGAGTCTACTTGGTGGCTAAAGTAGTTTTCTACAGCTATCACTGACTGGTGTTGGTGCATGGTCAGGTAATTAGAGAATTAACATTTTAACAATGACACTTGCAGTCAATTTTCATATGGTCAATTTGTCAAAAGAGTGATTCTTAATAATATTAGCCTGAGGGTTTGACTCTACTGTCCTTTTTCAAACTGGTGACCATCTCAGATAATACACTTTCTTCCAGAAATTGCGACTGAGGTTCATTCAGCATAGATGCATCATAAACTAAAGGTTGGCTCTGTGGGTGTTGAACAAACAGAAATGTGCTTGAGCATGCATCTGTAACATTGACTAGCTAGCCATTCTAGCTGACAAGCATTCTCAGAAGCTGATTGGTATTCAAATCAAGTTAAGATACTTAATTTCTAATGCAGTTTTTTAAAGTCAAACAAAAGCTTTTCCTGCTTTTAAACTGAAACAACATCATCATCCTATCCTCTGCAATTTGTAGGCGCTCTCTTAGACAAAGTTCGGTTCATATTTCCTTGTTATGCCAAATGTTTGCAAACTTCATTTCCAACAAGAAACGCAAGCAAAAAGACAAATCAATAATCCTCGGCTTTTCTTTTCAACATCTTCAATGAATATTGACAAAGATAAAGTGAAGAAAGACACAGGACACAATGGCCTAAACGTTGTGATAATACAAAAAAAAGATAAGGACAATATTTCAACTGGAAATAATGAAAATAAAGATAAAATTGTGTACTGAGAAATTGCTTCTAAATATTTTGCTCTGAATTCTGTTTCTGCTAAAGACTGCAAAAATCTCTTCCCAAAACTTACTGCCTTATAAATAAAACTGGTCAAAAAACATTTGTTTATCTCAGTTATCAGCCATAAATATTTGTTGGATGTTGAAAATTCTCCATATCCAAGAATGCAGACAGGTATATAAGTAGTCAGAATAAAAAAAACAATCTTCATGAATGTATTTAATTTTATCTTTGAACTGATGGAGTTTAAAAAGTATTTGAAAATAATCCAGTCATGACAAAATGTTGCTTATTATTGACAATATCTTAAATAAGGCACATTTGTTTTGATTGATAATATCGTAAAAAGGATGGGGCTTTATGTTGGAAAGTGGAAACTTTTTGCTCTCCTTGACAGATATGCCAGAACCATTACTAGAACTGTTTAGATTTTATGCTAATATGTCCAGAATGAATATGTAGATCAAAAGAACCCATAAATTCTTTAGTGCTTTATATATATATATATATATTGGTTGCCTGAAGATCACAAGAGTGTGAAACTTAATAAGTGAGTCCTAGTACCTAGTTATGGGTTGGTGCTGTGAAGTATTTTTTTTTTTTTTTTGCAATGTCTGGATAGCAAAGGAGTTGAGTATGGTTATTTACTGCTTAGGTATATGTTTGTATGTATAGGTATATGTATGTATGTATGTAATGTAATTTAATATATATGTATGTATAGGTATATGTTTGCCTTTTGTTTTATTTCTTTTTTCTTAGTTTGATTTTTTTCTTGCATAAGGTTTTTCTTGCTTTTTGCTTGTTTTTTATTAGTATTTACCCCCACTTTTAATTGAGAAACATTCCCCCTGTAATAATCCTCGAAGCAAGATTTTTAATGAAAATACTCTTACATAAAGTTACAGTTGTACAGATAATCTAAAAAAATTATTAAAATACATAATAATAAAATTTTAAATCTACACTTAAACCAAAGTAACAATTGTTATTCCACAACAGAAAACAATAAGGAAAAAAATTGTGTAATTGTAGACATCCAAATGAATGTCCATTATAGAATAGGTGTCATACTGAAACTATTGTTTACCAATGTACCATTTCATCAAGTGAAAATCCAACAGTTAAGAAATTTTATATTGGTAGTACAAAAAATCCCTTTAGAATGAGGTGGTATTGGCACATATCTTCTTTCAACAACAATGCCTAATGTAACTGAACATTCCTTTCTAAATATTTTCGACATTTAAAAGAAATTAGTAAAACTCCTAAGGTTAAATGGAAAATATTGAAAAACAGGAGAATTTGTAAATCCTTAAATGACCCATGTCCCTTGTGTTTACAAGAAAAGCTGCATATTATAAAGTTTCCTAAAAATAAAGTTCTATTAAACCAAAGAAATGAATTAACAATTTTATGTAGGCATTGTCTAAATTTTATGTTAAAATATAGTTAAAGGAATTCTTCATAAATATTTTATGCATTACAATTACATAGCTATTATTTTATAAGTATATAATGCTTCACTTTCATTTTTCAACTTTAATATTGCCCTGTTTATATGGCCCATTCAATAAAATTAGCATCATATATTAAGGTTCCACAAATAATTTTTTAAAATTTTATCTATTCATTCCTGTCGCAGTGTGCCCGATCACCACTCCTCCTTTCGTAAACAATCCCGAATATGCCTGCCAGTAGAGAAAGGTCACGACCTTCATGTGCTAAAAATAGCAACAACCTCCTTTCAAACTGACAAAAAAACACAAAACTCGATTTTCGCCACTAAACAAAAATAAAAGACCTTTAATTTCGAACCGAAATTAATTTAAATACAGTCAACAAACACCGAACACACTTTTGACTGTAATTAATATGGCCTGAAATTAATTATATTCATTTACTTGTTTAGCGCCACCGCTTGTCTTGTATGAACAGTCTTATATAGATGCCAGAGACTTCACAGCAGTTTTTAGCAGGCCAGGGGAGCAGCCCGGCCTTCGGGCTGGGTTGGGACCATGGCAAAGCCTAGTTTGGACCATATCAGGACCTGCTAAGACAAGACAAGACCAATTTGGACCAGAACTTGACTAAGCTTTGACCAGCTTGGACATGGTATAACCAAAACATTGACTAAGCCTTGACCAGCTTGGACATGTTATGACCAATCTTTGACCAGTGACCCTATGTGGAAACGCTTGGGTTTTCCCACGAAAAACGACCTTGTGTCACGTCTTGACCCCGTGGGAGTCAAGTAATCCCACGAAAAATGACCTTGTGTCACATCTTGACTTCGTGAGAGTCAAGTAAATACCGCTGGCCAGGGAGCAGGGAGCCTTCCTGAATCGCGACTTTGACGCGCCCAGTCAAGTCAACCGAGCCCAGCAGCAGTAGTTCAAACAGTCCTTTTCAGGGCTAACTTCCAAAAGTCATTCAATCACCACTCTTCAAGACTTCACTCTCTTCTACTGCCTTCCCAATGAGATGCCAGCTCACTCCTGCAGCTTCCAGTGGCCTGCAGCTTCCAGCGGCCTCCAGCTCACTCCTGCAGCTTCCAGCAGTCTCCAGCTCACGCTTCCAGTGGCCTCCAGCTAACTCCTGCAGCTTCCAGCGACCTCCAGCTCACTCCTGCAGCTTCCAGCAGTCTCCAGCTCACGCTTCCAGCAGCCTCCAGCTCACTCCAACAGCTTCCAGCTCACTCCAACAGCTTCCAGCAGCCTCCAGCTCACTCCAACAGCTTCCGGCAGCCTCCAGCTCACTCCAACAGCTTCCAGCGACCTCCAGCTCACTCCTGTGGCACTTTACTGACGTCCTGCTACCTGTTCCAGTGCTCGTTAACGTCTGGATACCGTTCCTGAACAAACGACCTCTGTCGTTTTACCATCCACCGTTCGCAAATAAATACACGATTTCCATCGCCTACAACGGACCATCTGCATTTGTCATCCTTCTTTGCTATTGCCATCTCCTTGCCTTTGCGTCCCCTTTTTAGTTGTACAGTCGATTGGCACTCACACCTCTTGACCCACTGCAACATTCCCTTTAAGAAGTTTCCGTAGTATAAAAATTTTGAAAAATTCTTAGAAATCATTTTTTTTGGTACTATGTCTACTTCACCAAATCTGAACTTTGAATTTCGCTACATTATGTTTGACACTGACACGTCTAGAGTGTCAATGTATTAAGACATAACAATTTTATAACCCACCTCCCTCCGATTTTATTTTTAATTTTTCTATTTTAGCATAGATCTGACTTTTAATTGGTTAATCCAGACATGCCCACAAGTATATATTTTAATTCTGACATTAGGCTTCCCCCCACTGCTTTTTAACTTTCAAAAGAAGTAACAATTTGTTTTTAAATTTCCCAAATGAATCATTTGTATTATATGTAATCTATCTTGCCTGATAAGGAATGATTAAAGTTCCAAAACATGAAAATTTTTGTGCAGCGATGTAAAATATTTTTATTGTAATGTATTATAATAAACATATTTTAACAATATTTTATATATATATATATATATATATATATATATATATAAACTATGAGAAAGTGCTAAAAAGTTTTTGTGTGATATCTTTTGTCCTTTAGAACTTCACCATTAACTTTTTCCCTGAAACTGTTCTTGATACACAAAAATTCATATATTGCTTTCCCATATATAGATATAATACTAATTTACAAATAACAGATGCCTAATAAAGGAAAATTTGCTTTTCAAAGCAAATATATTTGTTGTAATGTTGTCTTTATTCAAAACATCTGAGAATTAGGAAGGCCATAGTTTGAGAGAATATCAAAGGAACAGAACACTAAATAGAGGAAACAAAGAAGAAGAGGTTTATTAAATACTCATACATAGAATGGAAAGACTTGAGTAAATCAAATACTACTCAAATCCTCCTTTAATGTGGCTACTTGCCATATTTATAAGTAGGGGCAGTCCATTGTCACAGTAGTAGGGAAGAATAAGATATACACAGAGTCCTACTCTACAACAATATTCAACCATAAAAAATAATAAAGACTTTTTCTAGCTACTTCAGTGTTTGAAATTCCTGCAATTAAATTTTAAAGTTGAAGAGAATATCAGCTAAAAAATGTTGCAAGTAAAATGCAATAACAACAAGATATTTTTGGAAAACCTGTCTAAAAATGCATAGAATAATATAAGTTAATATCACTTTGAGTGTACTAATGGATGGATATATACTTTATCAAATATCTCAGCACATTTCACATGGTATTCTACATAGATTGTCATAGTTAATCTTGTATACAGCAAATAGAGAATGCATATTGCCTCACATGTGTGAGAATATCATTCAAGGCTATCACACACACTAAATATTGTACATGCTACAACAATTTAAATATCTGGGAAGTGTTTTAACAGAAGACAGAAAGTGTGCCACTGAGATCCAAAGTCCCACTGGGAGAGCAAAAGATGCCTTCCAAAAGCTAATCAAAGTATGAAGAAACAGGGAAATTTAATTAGAAACAAAGAGTACTGAACTGTTATGTAATATCAGTCCTCCTATATGGCAGTGAATGGTGGACAATCTCCTACAAATGAACAAGAGATTTGAATCAACAGAAATGTGGTTCTACAGAAGGATGCTGAGAATACCATGGACTGATCACATGAGCAATGACAAACCTTTAGAGAAAATAGAAACAAAAGGATGCTTATACTTAAGATGAACAGCAAAAAACAATGCATGACATACCGAGTGAGCTTGAGTAAATGGATTGATTCCTTGTCCACAAGTAATCTCTGATGTTAAACTCACCCTTGTGCAATAACCAATTCTGGTGATAAGGAGAATAAATTTTAATCATCTGAGGTTAGATTAAAGGTCAGTTTCAAATTTTAGCAGAAATCAGTTCTGAAGTAAATTAGTGATTGTTTTTTATGGTTTGTCATCCTTTGAAGGTTATTTTAAGCCAGAGAATATTTTTAATTTATAAGAAATATTTTTGGCAGGGTGGGGGATTAGATAATAATAAATTACAGATAAATGTCCTACTAATTAATCCATAGCTGGAGGGAGAGGAGATGGATTCAAGATTATTTGCACATGAACCTGATTGGAATTGGAACTTGGTTCTCCAGTTGACAATTTTAAGCCATTAACCATTACACCACTCACACATTCAAGCTAACAGCACTTGGTATTTCCCAACAGTCACTCATCTAAGTTCTGACCAGGCTCATCATTACTTAACTTTGGTGATTGTACAACAAACGGTGTTTCAACATGATATGGCCATAAGCCCTCTAAGGTTAAGGGAGTAAATAAAGCAGTTACTGTTTCTGTAGCATTTTTACCAATATTAGCAGCCATGTGTTTCATAAAAAGTGTTTTTATGTCGATAATACAGCTCTCTATTTTTGGATAGAAAAACACTTAGATATTTCATTTTCCTGTATTTTGCTGGTTTTATATACATAGTCACCTTTATTATATTCCCCTTCTATGAGAAAATAATTTTCAGGATTATTACACAGTTTCATTATTGTAAATAGAACAAGCAGTTGTAAATACATTAAAAAAAAAATGATGCAGCCACTCATATCCAAGGATGCTAGACTACTAGGGTGGGTAGCTAATCCCTGTTACAGACGTCTGCTCAGGCACATTTGTGTTTGTTCAACACCTACAGAGCCCACCATGCTGAGTGGACCTTAGTTAAAGTTTCTAGGAGTGCACATGTGCATCTAGCATGATCAACATGTCATCTAGCATGATCAGCAGAATCAACAACATATGTAATTGACTGAGGGAGATCCAATTTGCCTTTCATTTTTTAAGGAACTTTTTTTTCTCATACATGGGCAGAAATCTGGGGGTTCATCGTGTAGTCTATTCTTTTTGTCTATCTTTTCCTACTTATTTATTTATATCTCTTTATTTACACTATTTATATTCTAACTACTGTCCTCATCTTTGTTGTTATTATCACAAAGTTTCCTACTTATTTATATCTCTTTATTTTAGGCCAGCATGATCAAACCCTCGGTCATGATGACTTGTGACTTCGTGCTAGCACAATCATCAATGATCACTAAGGGTTCTGTCTACCCAGTTTCACTTACAAAGCTTGGGTCAACACGTGGTGTGATTTTCAGGCACATTCCAAAGGTGCCCCACGCTGGGATCATCCCCCCACTCCAGACTGATAACATCAAGATGTCACCTTCCTGACAAAATTGACTATGGCGAGATTTGAACCCAGGTCTTATGGTCAGAAAGTGAACATTCTAACCACTCTTCCATGTGCACTTATTGTAAATATATACAAGCTGATAAACAACTTATGTGAGATTAGATCAGATTTAGATCTTATAAGGAATTAGTTCTGGAATAATAATAAAATAATACAGCTTCTGGTTGTGTAATATGTTTACCAATATTAACCATTATGGAATTCAACCAATTATGATGTATAACTACTAACCATTATGGCATCATCATGTGAATATGTTATTCTAAAGAAAAAGGATGTCTGTAAGCCTAATCCATTTAAAGAAATATGATGACCAAGATGAACTTGAAGACTAAGATCTCTTAATTGTTTCTCGCTTGCAGTTCTTAAAATTTATTAAGTCTTTGTTTTACAACTAAGTTATCTGGACTCATTACACACATCTATAAAAAAAAACATGAGAAATACTGCATACACTTGACTTATTCTTTATCTTGTCCTTCTGTCAGATTACAAATCCATATTTGATCTTCATTTGACCACAAACTCACAATTTTACTCAGTATTACTGTCTCTTGTGTCTCCAACACCACATATCAACCAGATAATAAATAAAACTCATTTTCTTGTTTCAATGCCTTGCTGTTTCTCCTCTTTACAAATATTTTTTGTATATATAAATGTTAGGCTGTTTATAATTATTTACACAGAGTTATAACTCCATTACAAAAGCTTTTAATAAGCTTAATAATTTGTTGAAATTGTTCAAAGGTGTTCAGCCTAAAACTTGTTACTTTATAAAATCAGAAAATATAAATAAACATGACCTTTTCTGTGCAAAACACTGATGAGAACATTCTATTGTTAAAATACTTTCTTTCAATTGTATAATGTTTTACTTTTGTATCTATGTTGTGTCTGTAAGTGTGCTTATTTGTGCCAAATATGAACAAACACACAATTTGAACCTTTATACATTTTATTCACAATAGAGTAAGAATAGATGTAAAAATGACCAGTGGATTATGCTGTATTGTGTTTGAGAGGGACAACCATCATGAAATCCAGTTTCTTTTCTCTGGAGAGTTCTGATCAAGGGGCATAATTTGGTAGAAGCCAATTAACTCCCTTGTTATGATGTCTGTCCTAATAATCAGTTAAACCTTCAAATGTTATTATATAGTAAAGAAAATTTGTTTTCTGTCAGTGTTGTTTACATTGACAAGACAAAACTGATCAGATATAGGCTCTTGAAAAAAATAATCTGAGTGAAGAGGATTTAGGGTAAAAATAGTTTGCTTACTGTGAAGTCTTTCATGGCTGAACAGTAAAGCATGCTGGATCAAATAAGGAAATGCAGGAGGATACATTTTCTTCACAAAGATTTCTAGAATGTGCAGGTTGATAGATATAATATACACTGTTTAATAAAATAAAAATGGTACTTCTGTTTCAAATAAGGAGATTCCACTGTAACAATCTAAGGCATATCAGATTAAAAATGAATGAGTTAATTCTTTAAAAACTGATCTGTTAACAGTGTAGATTAAAGAAAGGGTTCAATTCAGAATTCCCTGTAGGTTACTCAGATCAAAATACACCTGATGAAGACCATAGGGCATAACAGTTGAAACTTTGTGATAATAACAACAAAGATGAGAACAGTAGTTTGAATATAAATAATGTAAATAAAGAGATTTCTCCCCAGAATCGATACTTCAAATATACAAATCAACCATTCGCCCTTGCATGGAGTATTGCTGCCATATATGGTCT